TCGAAATGGGACGCCAGAATACACGAAGACATTGGGGCATGTTCTACAACCACCACAGCGGGTCGAAGAGAAACAATGTCATGACTATTCCTGAAGCGGAGACTAACACACGGAGCAAACGAGCAAAGCTATGAGCCAACACAAGCCCGACGGTACAGGAAACTACAGGTGGGGAGTTTAGGGTATATAGGGCTTCTATAAAACTTCCATAAGGCATATAGACCTTCTTTAAGGCTCCTATAACGGTAACTACCCACCTGAAAATGTCCTAGACGAAGGTACACAGGAAAGACTGACTTGAAACCCCGGGCGCAAACCCCACGAAGAGCCGTGAGCCTAAACGGCACAGAAAGCGTCTTCGGTTCAACACCGCCGCCAACTCCTCAACAATGCAAACCAGAGGCTCAGGCCAAAGCCCTACTGAGCCACTCAATCCTCAAACCGATTCTGGCTTCTTTAAGGATCGATAGTCCATTCCAGAAGAAAGATGCCCGAAATACTTAGAGTAGAGCTATAGAAATCCTTGTTAACCCCTGTATGAATCCGAAAATGAGGGGATAGAAACTATGAGCAATACTGAGGCTCTACGGCGGCCCTCCCGGAATCTGGAGTGTAGGTTTAAAATAGGGTTGATACAATTCATAGGGTTAATGATGCTTGTAGGGTTTAGGGCTTTTAGGGTTCCGGGTTTCGGGTCGCGCTCTAGGGTTGTGTACAGCGGTTTTAGGGCTTTAGGGGTCGAAGTATAAGGATGTGTGGGGCTTACTACACTCTCAGGAGTCTTCCTCTTTGCGTCCAGGTGCAGGCGCCGCCTAATGCCTGGCACTGGCAGGAACCGCAATTCGGATAGGGTTTTGGGGTGGAAAGCATAGTATCAGTATAATTACGGAAGGAACTTTAAGCAGTAGTAGTGGTTATTGTTCAGGCTTCTATTATATATTCCGGACCAGGCAGCCAAATTATGGCGTCCTAAGTAGTTCCATCAAGCTTTTTAAAAAAGCTATCGCGGACATGACAACCAAGAGGACCGATGTAAGTTGCAAATGTAGGAACCCCCAACAACAAACCTCCAAAAGCCGTAAGGTTATGATATCCTATAATCCCTCCTTCAGTAAGGGAAGTAAGGTAGGGATATCCCACCAGACAGTTTATGATATCCTATAATCCATCCTTTTAATAAGAGAAGTAAGGTAGGGATATTCCACCCGACAGTTGATGAGTGGGTGCTCCCACGTGATCCTCAAGCCGGATCCTCCCGAAAACTTTGAGACCCCACTCCTGCCGGGGCTTCGAATGCTCGAACGGAACACTTGTGCCCTGAAGCCTGAGGTTAATGTAGGGCCCTTAATGATTAGAAAAGGGTTCCTTTACGGGGGTCCTTAAAAGAGGTTACTTCTTAAGGGCTACTATATGGGCTTAGGGTGTAGGGGCCTTAATAATCAGAAAAGGGTTTTGGGGCCCATTGTACTATAAATATAANNAAGGACCCCCCTCCAAAAAAAAAAATAGTATAGGTAATTATTTAGGCCCCTACATTTTTCGGGCTTCAGATTTACTTCCATAGTCAACGCTTCGAAAAACCACCACCTCGCCAGCCCCTCGTGTTCCTGACGTCCTGCGTGTTTCTTTTTGGTTTCTCGAAGGTTCGGAGTAACAGGCCCAAAACCCTAAACCCTAAACCCCATCTAACCTGCCCAAAACCCTAAACCCCATCTAACCTGCCCAAAACCCTAAACCCCATCTAACCTGCCCAAAACCCTAAACCCCTTCTAACCTGCCCAAAACCCTAAACCCTAGGCCCAAAACCCTAAACCCCATCTAACCTTGACTTTTGCAGCTTCGAACCCGGCTCAATCCGTCGAACCTGGACCCAAATATCTCTCCCAGACCTTCCAAAATCCCTCAAGTGAGGAAAATGCCGTGTATCATAGTATAGGGATCCTACGTACAGAGACTCAAGATATATTCCTTAATCAAGGGATCAAGTCTGCAACCGGAAACGCTGAAGCGTAGTCTTCCGAAGCAACCTATCCCCCCAGGCGGTGGGGTCGGTCTTTATATTAGGAATGATTAGTATGATCGGGAAAGTATCCCCCCGAACAGCACCCTAAACCCTAAACCCTAAAACCCTAAAACCCTACACCCTAAAACGACCCTCCTGACATCCGAATCTTCAACCCCAACTGCAAAAGCGCTCACAGGAGAAAGCCCTCCTTTTGAATCCACGTGGCCGCGCAGCCGCAGCGCCAAGAAGGGAAGCCTGAAGAGATGACGGGGGGGTTAGGGTTTAGGGTTTAGGGGTTAGGGTTTAGGGTTTAGGGTTCAGGTTTAGGGTTTAGGGTTCCCAGGGGTTTACGGTTTGCAGATCGTAAGAATCTACCTTGAGATGCTGAGGGAGAGCAGGTGGTGGGCTGAATTATAGAGCTGTGCAGTGATCGTTTCTGGTTCTTGTTCTAGGGCTCGTGGATGTAGGCTTCAGCTTTGAACGCTGAGAGATTCATCTAGGGACCCTGAGCCTTCACTTCGGGGCCTTGTCCGGGGAGCTGACGGGATCCTTGTCTTTCCATCTTGTCGCACTGGTAACAGGCCCTTTCCCGTCGAACCCTGCGGACGATCCCTGTGCTTCACGTAGTTCATCTAATCTGGCCGCATCTAGCCAGGCAACGCTGCCAGCAATGCCTGTCCGGCTGCCGTCAGCCGTCCTGTCAAGGCATGGATACGTCTACTGTAGGGGCCTTATAATTATAATAGGGTTTTGGGGCCCTTTATAGCATAAACATAAGAAGGGACCCCCAACATAGTATAGGTAACTATTTCGGCCCTGCGCTCATGAGATACTTCTCGGAAAGCCTGGTCAGAGTTTCCAACGGAGCTCGCTCGAGGGATGTTGGAGTTGGTCGTCTACTGCTAGGATTCGTTCGGGCTGACTTTCCTAAGATCGGGGACAGGCAAGAACCGACCCCGATGCCATGGAAAACGCTGGAGTTCAAGGATCCCCCGAGCCCAAACCCCAGACCCCAAACCCTTAAACCCGAAACCCTACAGCCCACAGGCGTTTGAAGCCCATGGCCCGTACCTATATAAAACCAAAAACCCTAAAGACCCTAAAAGCCCTAAGCCCCAAACCCTAAAACCCTAAAGCCCTAAACCCTAAACCCTAAATCTCAAAGGCTGTACGCCGTAGGCTCAACTCACAAGGCTCCTGCTCGCTGGCGGAGCCTCAGCCGGGTTCGAGGGTCACGGGCTTAGCGCTCATAACAGGGCTCTTTTCGGAGCAGAAGGGTTTAGAGGGTTTAAGGCTCTTTGGGAGCAGAATAGGGCTTAGGGCTTTTAGGGTTAAGCTTAAGGAGCAGAATGGGCTTAGGGTTTAGGGTTTAGCTTAGGGAGCAGAATAGGGTTTAGGGCTGAGGGTTTAGAGCAGGGCTTCGGGAGCAGAATTGGGTTTAGCATGCCCCAAAACCCCAGTCTAATTATTATGATACTAATAATAGTAATAATAATAATACTAATAACAATAGTAATAATAGTAACGATGATCATAGTAATAATTATGATAATAAAAAGTTATCAAGGCCCCTCCATTGTTCGGATCTGCTGGAGTCTTGAAGGCTCAAGCTTTCGGGGGCAGGGATTCGGTTGGGCACGATCTTCATATAGGGGCCTCAATAATTAGAATGGGGTTTGGGGGTGTATTATACCATAAATATAATAAGGAATCCCCAAAGCCCTATACGAATTATTCAGGCCCCTAAACCCTAAACCCTTATAGTAACCCTTATAGACCCATTTTTTGAATCCTTTAAAGGAGCCCTATTCTAGTTATCAAGGCCCCTACATTACGTAGGCATCTGGTTCAGCTGCAAGCTGTCAGGCAAGGCTAGAATTGAAATTTGGGAACGTGCCTCGGACCCCGAAACACTCCGAAAAGTGTCGGTGCACGGAGAGCCCTGTTTAGGGTTTAGGGGTTTAGGGGTTTAGGGTTTAGGGGTTTAGGGTTTTGGGGTTTAGGGTTTAGGGCAAGGACCCGACAACACGGATGCTTGCATGCTGGCTCCTGTCGTGCTCCTTCTATATTCGCCCTGATTTCTGTCGGCTGTGGCGGATGGACTCAGACCCCCGCAACTAAGATAGAAGCCTGGTAGTATTTCCTTCCTAGACTTAGAGTAGGATCTACCCCGAAAACCTAGTCTAATTATGAAGGCCCCTATTTTACAGGCTCCCAAGTTTCGGAAACTCTTGGAAGGCAAGCTGCGTCAGCAGCGCAGCCAACGAGAGCACGATCGGAGGCGTGCCAGGAGGCAACATAGCTCAAGCGCGGTTTCGGGGGTGCAGAGGGAGAGGGGACAGCGAACCCTGTAAACCCTCTTTGCCCTTATAAACCCCAAAGCCTAAATCCCTAAACCCTAAACCCTAAACCCTAATCCCTAAACCCTAAACCCTAAACCCTAATCCCTAAACCCTAAACCCTAAACCCGGGAACCTCGTCCCGCAGGAGGCGACTCGAGGCTGAAGCGCTGCGGAGGCCTACTTATGCTAGAGCAGTTAGGGTTTAGGGTTTAGGGTTTAGGGTTTAGGGTTTAGGGTTTAGGGTTTAGGGCACTCTGCAGCCTAACTTAAACCATCGAAGGCTTTGGCCGGAAGTGCAGAACCCTGGTAAACACGCTTCCCAGAGTACCAGAAGACAACTAAGTCACGAAACGCAGCGTCGGTTTGGGGTTCCGGGGTTTAGGGTTTTGGGGTTGGGGGTGATTAGACTGCAAGAGTGATGAAGATTACTAACTGGACCGCGGTATTCCTAAACCCCAAACCCTATAAATAGATAACGCTGAAGAGAAGAAGGCTTCAGGTTTTGGGTGCTATCCCTAAAGCCCCAAACCTATCCAAGTAGCCCATCAGCACGGAATAGATGTATGGGGCAGCTAAGTAGGCGGTCATGATTTTCAAGTCAGAAGGTAATCCCCTAAACCCTGAACCAGACTGCCAGCGAGTGATCAAGGAGCTCTTTCAGCAGGGCGATCTCGTATTCCTCGAAAGACATCGGTGTTTGGGATTTAGGGTTCAGGGTTTAGCGTTTATCTATAGTCTCCACGTCGTGCAGCTGTCAAGGTGTGTTTCTGCAATGTTCAGTCCACAGCAATACCTATATATTAATGTAGGAGCCTTAATAAATAGAATAGGGTCTTGGGGTTCATTATACTATAACTATTTAGGCCCTATCCGATATTTGTCTCCGTTGTAGTTCCGTTGTTTGGTTTACTCAGCAATATATTGAGGATCCTACAGGGCAACCCCCAAAAGGAGCCAGTCTGAAACTCGGCAGTCATTGAACATGGGAGCAACATCGAATCACTGTTGCATCCCCTTTTTAGGGGGGCACAAGAGGCACAAGGCATAGAAAGGAAGCCTGGACTCCATTTCACCCGGATCCTTCGCTCTGACCCACCGTGCTGTGCCCTGGAGCGGGGTAGCAGCTAGAAAAAACGGAAACCTGCAAGAAGCAATCATCGATTCTTTCTTTTCCGCCTGAGCCGAACCCGAAACTCGAAGCTCTTGACCCTAACACACCCGACAAAGCCTACAACTCACACTTTGCTGCTACCTGCGTCTACCTGGGGCATCCACTGCCCGCTGGAAATCTGCGGAGGAACGGCAGATCATCTCCTTCACTGCGACCTCCTCGCGGATTTAGGGTTTCGGTTTAGGGTTTAGGGTTTAGGGTTTAGGGTTTAGGGTTTAGGGTTTAGGGGGTTTAGGGTTTAGGGTTTCGGGTGACGGGCAGCAGGGTTCAGGTTTGGGGGTTTCAGGTCCGGTGATTGGGGGGAGGGTAGGGCGCTATCGGCTTTAGGGCTCAAGGTTACGGGAATCTACATAGGGTCTAGGGTAAAGCTTCGGGTGTTTTAGTGCAGGACAGGTTCAATTTTGTTGGAGTATCCGACAAGAGTACACCTTTGGGGAAGGTTCCTCGCATTCAGCCAGCGCTGTTCCTGTCACCTCTAAGGTATAAGCTTTCAAGAAACCCTTAAAGGAGCCCTGAAAGGAGCCCTTAAAGGAGCCCTGAAAGGAGCCCTTAAAGGAACCCTTAACGGAGCCCATAAAGGAGCCCTTAAAGGAGCCCATAAAGGAGCCCTTAAAGGAGCCCTTAAAGGAGCCCTTAAAGGAAACTTAATTAAAGGAGCCCTTAAAGCAGCCCTTAAAGGAGTCCTGAAAGGAGCCCTTAAAGGAAACTTAATTAAAGGAGCCCCTAAAGGAGCCCTGAAAGGAGGCCTCAAAGGAGGCCTGAAAGGTTCTTGAGGGTCTCGTTTAGAGGCCTAGAGGTTCGCTGGGATCAGCTGAGATCCCCAAAAGCGCTGCAGCAAGGACTTTGCAGCCCGCCCAACACAAAAAAAGGGCGTGGGGTTTAGGGTTTAGTGTTTCGTGTTTAGCGTTTTAGGGGTCTAGGCGCTTCGTGTTTACTGGTTTAGGCGGCTTAGGGTTTATGATGAAAAGACAACCCCTTAGCTCGCAATCCTGAACCGAAGTGGCAGGCGAAAGAACCTTGCGGAGGAGGTCCTGGCAGGACTCCTTGTTGCATTTGGCAGCCCAGACCACGCCGAAGGAGCCCATACCCAGAGCCTTGACGCTCTCCAGCAAGGGCGTGCACTGCTAGGGCTTACTTAGAAGGGCCCTATTTCGGGATTTGTGCCGGATTCGGGCTCAGGGGATTGGGATCGCCCTTGCTGTAATGGCACACAAACCCCAATGCTTCAAAACCCAGCAAGCTCGTAACCCGATGCCAGTAGCCCAAAACATAGAGCCTGAACCCCAAAAACCTAGAAACGCCCTCCCCAACACCTACTTGGAGGATCATGGGACTTAGCAAGTAGGGTCATAATTAGGGTAACTATACTTATAACCCCAATTAAGGGACTTATAACTTTACTTACTAAGTCCCATGATCCTCCAAGTAGCAGGTATGTAGACCTTGCCTCGGTAATCTCGCAGGTGGAGGCCCCAATGCGGACCACGATGCCAGGTGCTAGCCTTGCAGGCTTTGGATTTGCAGTCTAGGATACATCCTGAACCTGACCTTTTCAGGTTTCCGTGTCTATGATTTCTTTACATCAGCGGTCTAGGGGTGGCGGACGTTGGGGCGTTGGAGTTCAGGATTCGGCTTTAAGGCTCAAGTTCAGGCTTTACCGTCCGTGGACCTCGACGCCTATTTCTCTACCGCTGGTTGTCTGTGGGGGTCTCTGCAAGAGCCGAGGGGAGTTTGTGGTAGATTGAAACCCCAAGACCGGTAGACCCTAGGATTTAGGGTTGTTTAGGATTTTAGGGTTTTTTAGGGTTTAGGGTTTAGGGTTAGGGCTTCCACGGGCTGATGATACAAGGAAGGGGTTTAGGCTTCAATCTTCTTGGGGAGGTAGCTTCATCCTTGTGGGGCTCTGATGTAGGGGCCTTACTAAACTAGAGTAGCATCTTGGGCTCCTTTTATTATATACGTGTAGGGCTTTGTTAGGGTTTAGGGTTAAGGGTTTAGGGCCGTAAGGAATGATATTTGTATTTATTTAGGCTTCCACAGTAAGCGACTTCGTCTTCCTTTAGCAAATTTAAGGATCGAGGCCTTCAGGCTTCGAACCCCCCCTTGCAGCTGAGCAAGGATGGTAAGATTGAGTTCAGGATCCTTGTGCTTCGGCTTTTTGCCTATAGGCTCCAGTGTAGTTCCTTTTGGGGGATACCTTATAAAAGCCTTAACTTTTATTGTAGTTCCTTTTGGGGGATACCTTATAAAATCCTCAACATATGATTGGCTAAACCAAAAATAGGAACTACAATGGAGACAGTGTAGTTCCTTCTTTTTTGGCTTAACCAAATATGTACTGGGGATTTTATAAGGTATCCCCCAAAAGGAACCCTTTTGGGGGATACCTTATAAACTCCTCAACATATGATTGGCTAAAACCCAAAAAAGGGAACTACACTGGAGACTCTTTTTTTGGCTTAACCAAATGTATATTGAGGATTTCAAATAAGGTATCCCTAAAAAGGAACTACACTGGAGACTGTACCTATAGGCTCCATTGTAGTTCCTTTTGGGGGATACCTTATAACATCCTCAGTATATATTTGGTTAAGCCAAAGAAAGGGAACTACAATGGAGACTATAGTATATACTGAGGATTTTATAAGGTATCCCCAAAAAAGGGAACTACAATGGAGACTCTTTTTTTGGCTTAACCAAATGTATATTAAGGATTTTATAAGGTATTCCCAAAAAGGAACTACAATGGAGACTATAGTCTCCAGTGTAGTTTTTTTTCGGGGATGCCTTATAAAATCCTCAACATATGATTGGCTAAACCAAAAAAGGGAACTACAATGGAGACTCTTTTGTGGCTTAACCAAATGTATATTAAGGACTCTATAAGGTATCCCCAAAAAGGAACCCTTATTATAAAATCCTTAACATATGATTGGCTAAACCAAAAAAAGGGAACTACAATGGAGACTATAGGTAGGTTTGGAGGTCAGAGACCAAAAATATATATATATATATATATTGATTGAGGATTTTATAAGGTATCCCCCAAAAGGAACTACAATGGAGACTCTAGGAAGTGCTGAGATCAGAACTCCAACTCTGCCGGCGGGGGCGGCTTGTACAGCAAGGGCGCTGCCTGCGGAAGGCGACTCCCTCCCCGCAAGATGCAAAGAGAGTAAGTACAATGGTCATCAGCAAACTCCTTAGTTTCAACCGTTCCCGCCCTCCAGGAGCTTCGGGCTGACTTTGAACACACCTGGGACCCAGGAGTCGTCCCGCTCCTAGACAAAGGATCATGGGACTTAGTAAGTAGGGTTATAATTAGGGTAACTATGCTTATAACCCCAATTAAGGGACTTAGAACTTATAACCTTACTTACTAAGTCCCATGATCCTCCAAGTAGATAACACCCAAAAGAGTAGTTCTCTAAATTAGGGTCCCTTTTAAGGACCTGTTTATAATGGTGCCGTACTATATTGGGGACCTAAGATAGGGCCCTAATTTAGGGAACTACCCAAAAGCCGAAAGCTGGGAAGCGGTAGTAAAAGAATTCAGGAACCCCTAAACCCTACACACCTTTGGGCTTCTTTTGCCAGAGTAATATACTATTATTACCAACATATAGATATACATATACATATACATATAAACATATACACACAGGGTGATGGGTTTATCACGCGCACTTTTTCAGACAGGCGACTGCCTCTATCTCGCGCAAAGCAAAACATATCAGCCTTTTGAGTACCTTTGTCATGCGCCAAAGCTGGCAATTATCAGAGACAGCCATGTGCTCTGCTCTATCGGACGCGTCCGTCGGCCAAGGCAACTCGAAGATACAGAGAACTCAAACAATGCCATATGGATATCCTTAGCCCCTGAAGTTGCACAATGTTCAATTCCCTGAACCCTAAACCCTAAACCCTAAACCCTAAACCCCTAAACCCTAAACCCTAAACCCTAAACCCTAAACCCACAATGTTCAATTGCAGTTTCATGAGCCTCTCTGACATACAAAGCGTAGCTCTTCGTACGGCAAAGAAGGCCACTTTTGACTAGCGGACGATCCCCTGGGGCACGGCACCACACGTAGCTCTATGCATTCTACAGACACCTGCAAATGCATATCCAGCTCCAAATCTAAGCACATGCGTAGTATCCTGCTGCTGACAGGCGGCCCTAAACCCTAAACCCCCACGTTGCACTCGCCATGGATTTCTGGTGAACGCCTGAATGCATAGCTATCTCCCGACAGCGAGCTCCAGCTATTCCTAAGGAAGCGCACGGTGTTTTCTGACAAAACAGGCGAATGGTGTATGATAAACCCTCGCATGTCTTTGAACTATGGCGCACTGCAACCTCAATAATTTCATGATAAAGGCAGCTCCCGATGTACATATCTGTATGTGCGGATATGTAGGACCTGTGAATCACAAGGAAGAACAGGTCCCTCCCTGCACGTGCTATACATGGAAGGTATAGGTATATTACCCCAAGACTCTATGTGAAGGGGTCTGGGACAGAGTCTCATCGTACTCTGTCCGTCGAATGTCTGTATGTACCTCTTTACATATATATATATATATATATTATACACACACACACACTATACTATACTTTGAGTATAATATTAAATATACTACACCATACCCCACAACCCGATTCTAACTGGTAAGGCCCCTACTCTCTTACACACTCGCGGACCGGGTACACCCAAGGCCCAAAGCGCCGGGCGCCTTGGGAGGGAGAACCCAAGGACGCTGCATCACCACGGGCTCCTCTCCGACTTCGAGACCCTTTGGGGTTTAGGGTTTGGGGTTCGGGGTTTGGGGTTTAGGGTTTGGGGTTTGGGGTTTAGGGTTTGGAGATTGGGGTTTAGGGTTTAGGGTTTAGGGTTTAGGGGGTTTAGGGTTTGGGGTTTAGGGGCTTGGGGGTTTAGGGGCTTAGGGGCTTAGGGGTTTAGGGTTTAGGGGTTTGGGGGTTTACGGGCTTAGGGTTTAGGGGTTTAGGGGCTTTAGGGG